AAATTCCCTCTTAGACAACGTTGATACTGAAGAAACAAATCATATCCGAGGAATATTGATTTCATTACAATTTTGTCAGTTGATCAACTGCAGTAACCTTTCCAAATTCCACTCATCAGATTCTACTGTTGCAGTCTGAACTCCTCTGTTTGCCAGTGGCTAAATGATCATTTTTTAGTTTTATCCCCTTGCTTCAGTGAGTTGGTAGGTGAGCTGTAGGTGCAGATTGTTTATTTGCAAACTGCAGGGCCCTGTGTCTCTCCACGTCAAGGCGCCCAGGATCTGGCAGGCACAGTGACTCATGCATGCTAACTGATGTTTGGGTAAAGTGCACCGGGCTTTTTAAATAGGAAACACTGGCATACTAATGAGATGGTGGCACTGGGAATTCTTGCCAACATCTAAGACTGTTTTTATTGCACATTACTTGGTTACAGGGTGTCAGATTTACATTTTTTTTCTCAGATTTTTAAAAAAGCCGTATTCCCTTGCTCTGCACAATCAGTAAAGCTCCTTAAAACATGGTGAAAATACAGCCTGGACTTTAGTTTAGAGCTTCGTAATCATGATTTTTGGGCCAATCTTGATTTGTGACTATTTGGGATTTATTGGGATATTTTCTGACGTCTTTACTTTTCTGTATACGATATATTGCCCCATAACTTAAAATATACTTAAGACATCCTAAATATCTCCATCCATCCATCCATCCATCCATCCATCCATCCATCGACTCCCGCTTGTCCGGGTCGGGTCATGGGGGCAGCAGTCTAAGCTGGGAAACCCGGACTTCCCTCTCCCCAGCCACTTCGTCCAGCTCCTCCGGGGGAATCCCGAGGCGTTCCAGGCCAGCTGGGAGACATAGTCTTTTGCTTTTTGGCTCAGCTCCTTCTTCACCATGACAGACCGATGCAGCGCCCGCATCACTGCTGACGCCGCACTGATCCGCCTGTCGATCTCCCGCTCCATCCTTCCCTCACTCGTAAGCAAGACAAAATATACTTAAGACATCCTAAATATCTGTTGCTGCTTATCCTCACTGAGGGGCCTGGAGGCATGACTCGCTGGGCACGAGTCTGGGTTTTGGCTTGGGGTGGGGTATCAGTAAGCGTAACTGTGCATCTGTGTTAGAGGAACGTCGCAGAGCATGGGTGAGAATATGCGAATGCTACACACAGAGCAGTGGGTGGGCTTGGCCCTGTTGGGATGGATGAGGGGTCTAAGCTGCTGTTTTTAGGTTACAGGCCCCCCTGGTGGCATGGGTTCAAACCCCAATTCAGACATAGAAACTGATATGTGTGACTCACTGGATGCCTGGGATAAGAAGGTCATTGTGTCAAATCCCATGCTTGCCAATACAGTCACATCTCCATCAGACCTTCTAGCAAAGATCCTTAACCTCCTGGAATGTAGCAGGTGTGCTGGATGGATGGAGGAGCCTGTGCTCAGACTCCAAGCTTTGCTCTCACCTCTGCATGTGAGCAGGTATTAAAACGGAGAGCAATATGTGAAAACAAACACATTCCGAAGTACTTGTGCAACTGTGGAATAAGGCTTCATATCAGCTTGAGGCCCAAACTAAATGATTATCTCTACAATTAAGTAACAGAATTAATAACCTGAAATGAATAGAAATTCATATTTTGTTAGCGTTAGGGCCATCATTATTGAAAACTAAATTAACAAAGCAAGCTATTTATTAAAAGTAAATCAAGATTTTTTTTCTAAAAAACAAAAACATGCTTAAACTAGGACTGCCATAAATTAAATAACTAAGGAATAAGTAAATTAAAATCTAGATATAATGATTTAGTCTTTTAAAATTAATTTTGGAGCGATAAAAGCAAAAGAGCTGTTTCGGTAGACTAAAGCATGTGGAGTTAAAACAGAGAGCAATGTTTGTGATAAGAACGTGAAAGAGAAGAATCCTACAAAAATGCAAATGCATCTGTTAGGTTCAAAAGGTACTGTTCTCTTTTATCATGCATGAACAACTACGGAAAAAAAACTAAAAACAATAGATATAGCATCCTAATGAAATAAAACTGAAGCTATTAATGAAAATAAACAGAAAGGAATAAAAAATATTAAAAACCAAGATTGCATTTGTAGTGTAGAGGGTTAATTCTCAAGTATAGAGTCTAAGATATTGATGCCCAGAGACACAAAACACTATCTGGTCCTTCTGTGAGGTTGAACGGACACTGTACTCTACAGTGACACCTGCTGTCAGATGGCCAGTTACAGCTCTGTGCAGCTGGGCGGTTATCATGAAGTATGAAGCCAAGACGCCGAAGGAAGAGGGTGACAGCACACAGATGGAAGGAAATATGTTGTGTGAGGTAAGCATGTGTGTGTTAGCGAGAGACGCCTAACCCAGGATTAGCTAGCCACTGCAATTTGGGTAAAACTGGAATTAATTAAAATAAATATGACTAAACTGGAATAGAAAGGAAGCTAAAATAACTGCAGCTTAAGTCCACAAATTATCTGCATAAAGAGAAAATATTAATTCATTCTCAGAAGATATTTTGAAGGACCTGTATCTCACAGATAACCAATATGAACTAACGAAATTCTCTACTTATACAGTAACATCAATAAGCCCAATAAGGAGAAGGGTCACCCTTTGCCTAGAGAACAGCTTGAGATAGGCAGAAGATATTTTCTCTGTGCTTCAGAATATCCCATAAAAGCTCGATGATGGGGAGGCTATGGGAGGCGTTTGACTTTATTCTGGTGGTCATGAAAGCACTCTAGCATTCATCTATCAATGTGTAGGGGGGCACCATTGTCCTGGAACATGGGCACATCATGAAGGAACAGTGATTGCCCCCTAGGCTGTGCCTGGTCCTGTAAAATGGCCTTACATTTAATGGGTGTTAAATTATGAGCATGCAGAGCAATCGTTGTATGTAATGACTCCCAAAAGATGGCTGTTCATATCATTACAGCACTCCAGCATGTTTAACTGCTGGAAGCGAGGGTGAAAGATGACTCATGGGACCACATTACCTTTTTCCATCTCTCTAGGGTCCAAGTTTTGTTCACCTCATACCAAGTTATATGTCTTTGTGCATTTTCCATGGATACTAAAGGTTTCCAAATGGCAGGCATAAATTCCAGCTCTGTGAAGCTCACTATGTTTACTGAAGACTGGGTCACAGATGTGTCGATTCAGTCCTGTGGTGATTTTGTGATGCTTAGCAACCTCCCTGTTGAGTGTCCCTCAGTCCGTTGATGAACTTGGGCTTGTGAGGATTGTTCCGCTGCCAGTGGAGTTGGGCCACGTCTGGCATATGCTGTCATGATGTCAGAGACTGTTCCCATTGACACACTAATGACTTTGCAGTTTGTGTGATTGATGTACCTGCAACTCAGGCCCCAACTACTTCGTTAAGTAGTTTGATGCTTTATGTTACTTTGAAAGCTCACGTATCAAACTGCTGATAGTCAGATGTCTCATAGCTGACACACACTGCTGACAGGTTTCCAACTTAATGTCTTATCTATGCAGCTGCATTTGTAATTGTAATTTACGTCATATAGTGGAGTATTTCCATTATTTAGTCCACCCCCCGTAGATCAATATTCTGTAACAGTCAAGTCAAATCATCAATTAAGGGGTAACACAAAGAATCTAGGGAACCTGTTCTGCAAAACAGGAGACAGATAAGATAGGATTTCAAGAATTTCATGGTATAGAAATGTGTTTGTATTGTTGATTGAGTGAGGCGAGGCAAGGCGAGGCGAGGCGAGGCAAGGCGAGATGGCAGACCCACTCCCTGAGATCACCTGCCCTCTCTCTCAGTCTCAGGCTGCCCCTTCAGACCTTGATGTCCAACCCTTCCTAACATCTGACACTTATTCTGTCTTCCTGTATTTCCCTTGTGTTGAATCTGAAACAGCTGTTTTTTCCCCATTATGCGAAATCCTTCCGTCTGCACTCCTGCACTGCAATGAAGTCCCCATTTCATGCTAGCATCCCCAGTCACATGGTGCAGTTCACCATCCTGCCTGGAGCAAGCCCAACTATATCTTAATGAAGGTACAATATAACCATTATACACAGTTATTTCTGAACTACAATGAAGAACAATGAGCATACAGGAACTGACATTATGGTCTAAATGACTATATTGATTCTGCATTTTTTTAACAAGTACATTTATTTTTTTCTTCCTCCAGTAACATTCTTCACACTACATTTTCCTGCAAGGCCTGAATGTTCATGCAGAACCTTAAAACTCCTTTTCATGTAATGTGATGCAGCGCTTCCCTCCCTCACCACTTACCAGACCTGTGTGTGGTCTGGGCGAATACCCAGCCTCCTACTGCCCGCTTCAGAGGGCACAGGCTAGCCGGGCATCCTGCTCCTGTCTGCTGTTAAAGCTGGCAGTGAACCAACCGCAGGGGTAAAAATTGTGCCATCCGTGCAGACTTTAGCCTCAGCTCTCCTGTCACAGTCCGAGAGCAGCAACGGCAAAACAGACTTTTAGGGTAAAAGATAAAGAGGGTGTAAGTTGCACAGAGGTGAGTACAGAGCAGCCAGGAGAACAGAGAGCTGGCATAGAAGTCTGGAGGGGAGGTGGGGGGCACAGTGTAGCATGTGTCTCCTTAATGAAGGCCACTAACAGAAGCAAGCTGGACTGAAGTGGTAAAACTCAAAGCATAGCATGCAACCAAGGCCCAGCCTACTTCGAAGGAGTAGCGAAGACATATTTTTACACCAATATTATGACTTCAGCTCCAGTTTTTTCAATACGGTCTCCCCAGTGTTGAGAATGCTGTGTTTGTAACATGCTGTCGGCTATCAAAGACAACCCCCTGTGTCCGAGTCAGCACAGACATTAAAGGGTTCTTTATCCACTAATATTGTAACCTCCATTGGTTTCAGAAAAGATAAGTTATAGAGTGCTCACGTAATTGTATAATCTTTTGCAAAAATACCTGTGACCAAGATGAAGATAAAGTCATGTCTTAACAAAACTATAGAAGACTTCAGAACAATATCAATCCTTTATTAAATAATATTAATAAAAAAGACCATTTCTGTACAAAGTCTACAAACAACAGCTGAACATCTGACCACTGCCGGGATTCCTGCATCTGCGTTACTGCCCCCGGTCCCAGACAGGAAAGTAATACTGTCTCCACTCAACGGCAGAGGTCCATCAGGCGAGCTCCAAGGCACTTGGTATAGGGTCCGGGGGAGGGTCCAAGGTTGGGGCTGGACCCCCATCAGGGGGCCAATCATGGGAGCCCCTGCTCACCCACCCAGCTCCCCACCCCCCTCGCTCCGCTCATTCCGGGTCCGTTTGGCGCACCGCGGAAAGACGCATGGTTCTCTTTTCACATTTGGGCATCGAGAAAGAACCCAGAGACAAACTGACGCGGGATCGGACCAAGATTAACTGAAACACAAAACCAGCATCTTCTTAACCTTCAGCGCAGTTTGGGAAAAAAAAGATGTTAAAATGAAAAAAAACATAAGGCCGAATCCTCCAAGGCCTCAGTGGTTGTTATTCAGGAACGGCTGTTTCTCCATGGCTCTCCTCCAAAGATGCTTAAGGCTCAATAGTGTTGTCCAAAAAAAGTGGTTTTGCTTTCCAGCTTCCATTGTAGGTGTACCTTTGTTGTCTGAGCCCTGTCCAGCTCACAGCTGGTGCTGATAGAGGACAGAGGGCACGCTCTCTCTCCCCAAATCATGGCAAGGGTGCCCCCGCAGGCAGCTTGACGTCTCTGCGGCCGGGACCGTCTGCAATCCATAGGCTGCTCCAAGACCATCCTCATCAGTTCAACCAGCCCATAATGTGTGGCTGTGCACAAATCCTCCTCTCTAAAGTAAAGCACTAGAAGACGATCTGCATACTAAATCCAATGCACTTAACCGAACACTTGAATCTAATTTTAGATCAAATATTATTTTCAACTTTCTCTCATTTTTTTTTTCCAAAGACTGGCAAACATCTCAAAACAAATATATGAACTTTCGAACAGAGCACTTAAGAGGCCTAAGACTGGCGGTCGACACTGAAGAGGCGGAGCTCGAAAAATAGTGCAGACAGCAAGAGGGAGGAAAAACAGAAGCTGACGCGATACTGAGACACAGGTCTAAAGCTAAACGAACCAGCCCACAAAATATTAAACTGCGAGTGCCTGCAAACGCAGGGCAGGCAGAGGCTAGCCCAGCGACCGCCTGTCAGGACAGTCCTGCGAAAAGTGCAGGTCTTTAGAACTCTATATTTATTTACTTGATTTTTTGGGATAGGCAAAGACGTGATATGTTTCCGTGCTTCCTGTTCGCGGCACTGGGAGCAGCTCAGCCACACCCAGTAGTTCTGGTCCGAAGGCCGAGCCGCACTTCAGCAGCAGGAGGTGACGTGAGGCCCGCGCTGTCCCTCCCTGCACAGACGCCCTCCCACAGGTGAGCGAGGGAAATGGAGGGTGACAGGAGAGAGAGAGAGTGAGAGAGAAAGAGAGGAGCGTGTTCTCGTTTGGCGGGCACCGCGGGAACGCCGCTCACGCCTCGGTGCAGCAGCGCTGCTGGTTGATCTTGACCTTGTGCTTGATGCCGTCATACAGCTCGAAGTTGTAGTTCTCCAGCGTGGTGGAGCCGCGAGAGCCCAGGCTGCCGTAGGAGCAGGAGCAGTAGAGCAGGAGGCCTGCACAGACGGCACCCAGCAGCACGCCCAGCGAGCTCATCACGATGATGGTCACCAGGATGGGGTCCAGCGTGTACAGCCAGGCGCTGTCCTTCTCCGACACGCGTGTGACAGGCGGCCCCCCCGATGGCCCCGGCGTGCTCCACTGCAGGAAGGGGAGGCCTGCATTGGGCGCATGGGAGATTTAGGAGCATGTAAAACCCTGAAGCATTTAAAACGCCTATAAAGGCATGCAGCTCCCCAGAAGACCACAAACATTCAAGAGGGTCGTTTTACTGCTTTCCTGAGGTGACACTCCGCAGCAGTAATAGATATTAAATAAAATTTCCTATCTTAGACGGGTGGTGTGCACAACCCCCCACTCTTTGGCCTGCTATTAACAGGACACCATGAATTACACAAAAATGAAGACACGAATGGCTGCCTTGCTCTTTCTCTCCATTTGCTTCCTCCTGTCCCGGTTTCCTGGGAGAGACGCAGAGCGGCTGCAGCGAATGGCACTGTCTTACCCCCCGAGAGCTCCTCTTAACACCCTCCTGCTCCCTGGCCGAAGCTCATAAAAACAGTACAGGAATGCGTTTGTTGTTCATTTAGCTTTGGCAGCGCCAACGTAAGTGACATCAAGCGACTGGTAGCCAAAAGCTGTGGAAGCCGCTGATTGTTTCATTATTTTCCTAAAGGGAGAATGAGGGTAAGGCTGCAGTGAAAGACGAGGCGCTGGACACATGCTGTTCCACGCTTTAATTAGCTTTCGTGGCCCTTTTTTCTCCTGGACAAAGACTTTCCTAAGAGACGAGCGAGATCTTACGGCGCAGGGTCTATGAACGAACACAGCCCGTGAGGTGGAATTGGCGTTTGTGAGCCCCGTTGAAAAGGCACTTGTGGTGGACGCAGATCTGTCCAGAGCTGTTTACTCTGTTTATTGGCTGTATTTTGCTGTGCTGGGGAAGGTAAGCTATACAGAAACAACTAAATCATCCTACTCCCGCTTTGCGTAATTAGACGCATATTTCTCTGGCTCACCTCCATCTATCTGCTTTTTCGTGTTGACGGCACGATCATCTTCAATGTCCACAGGCCTCTGATCTGTAGCGAGGAAAGAAGAGCCACTTGAAGCAGGAGATCACAGTATCACAGCCCAGATAAGCTTTTGACTTGTCTGGAATATCAAGTAGCAAGAAGACTTAAAACAGCTTTTAGCAAACAGCTCACAGTGTCAATAAAAGTAATGATCTACATAGCAAGCTACCTGGGGAGATACTACTCAGCAGGTAAAAAGCCTTGTGAAGCATTTGAGAAGCTACTAAGAACTGATAGAACAACCCAAAATTTGCTACTGTGCAGCTGTGAAAATGCAGGTCCATCTGGCCTATTTTGTTCATTAATAAGCCACGAATAATGCTTCCAAGAAACACACACTATCTTTCAGTGAACAAGTTGCCCACAACAGATCAGCAATGGGGGATAATTCTCAACAAAAGGACTGGGAAAAAACAGTGATTAAAATATGCTGACATCATGGACACATACGCCAGTTTGTATAAAAATATCGCTTTATTATTACATTGCACACAACATATTCCAAGACCATGAATTCCACAAGCTACTTTTTTGTTGTGAACAGGCTAGGAGCTGAGGTGTAACACAGCATAGGACAATCACAGCCAGACCCCTACATTCACTGAGAGGACACCAAGACTGTCACCACACTCTGACCTGGTTTGCATTCCGTCAACAGTGACATGCGGATTTCTCTGTTACACGTGACTCTCACTCAACAGTCATGCCAGGCGGCAGGGCGACCCCTCAAGCTGCCATCGCAGTGCTTTTCTATGATTTCTCCTCATCTTCATCCTTCCAGCTGCAGTCTACTGTTAGTCTGAAAGTGTCTCAGACCAAATGTGGGCTGAGAGAAGACAGCAGCGGTGAAGAGTGCCCTAAGTGCTGAGAAGCTGCAGTATGCAGGGAGGTAAACCCTCTCCCCTCCTCTGCAGATTTAGTGGCAACAGATGTCCACAAACATCCCGTCCTTGAGTTATTGTGTGCTGGACCAACGACCACGAATGGGTGAAACCTGCAGTCGCACAACTAATGTCCATCCCTCAGAGCCAGGTGACAAAGCACATAAGGGGAGGGGGGAGGGGGGAGGCCGCTTGGCCTGGCCGCTTCCTTGGCAAGGCTGCTGTGGGAGATCTCTCTCATTAGTATGTCTTTCAGGGACGGCAAAAGAAGGGGGCGGGCGAGGGGAAAAAGCAGACTGCCGGCTTAATCAATGTTATCTGCTCCATTAACTAATTAAAAATATTAAGAGCTTTGCATGAGTCTGCAGAGAGATGTGGTGCCTGCTTTTGATTTAACAGGACATCAAGAGGACCTGCCAAAGTTTTACTACTGCCTCTGCATTTGAAAATCCCCAACTACGACAGCTCAGAGATAAGAATGCACGCCGAACCCTGCGGTCTTTCAAGCGACTCCAGAAAATTCTGCAGCATGAGTGGGTGGGAACTGAACACCGTAAAAAGAGCCGCAGATGTATGTATAACTCTGCACATAGGTGCATGTAAATATGGGCCTTCATTAAATAACCCATTCAGTACTTACATTTGTAGTCATCTTTGCACTCAAGTATTAATAGACAGTAAACCATCTGGTTATAACATAAAAATGCCTATGACCACTTTGAGCAAATTACGGCCTGTCACTGCGATTCCTTTACTTTGAATAGAATGTCTTTTTTCAGAAGAGTTTGTGGCTCGTGACAACATTATCCATCCATTTATTGTTGAATGGCTGATCCAGGTCAGGGTCGGGGGGCCTGGAGCCTATCCTAGACAGCACAGGGCACAAGGTCGAGGCACACCCTGGGCACGCATGCATACCACACACAATCATACACCATATGCAACGTCAATTAGCCTAACTGCATGACTGTGAGGAGAAACTGGAATAGAGTCACGCACAACATTCAAGTGACTGACATAATAGTCACGACCTTGAAGTGTCTGTAATAATGGCTGTGTTAAAAGGACAATCCCCTCCCATCTGTGCATGTAACTCATATTTGTTAATGCTTTACATTCATTGCACTTTCATAATGCATTCAATGAACATTCATTGCACCTTCATAATGCATTCACAGAACAGTCATAAGCAGCATGTAAGCATACCTTAAAACCCTAACACACCTTAACAGCTTTATTTTAATAACAAACATTATATGATTATATGAATATGCTTGTTATTATCATATAATGCTTATTATTAATGGACATTAAAGCTGTTAAGGTATGTTAGGATGTTAAGGTATACTTACATGCTGCTTATGAACGTTCTATGAATGCATTATGAAGCTGCACTGAATGTTTTACGAATGCATTATAAAGGCATTATGAAGGTGCAGTTAATGTTGAGCATTACCCCATATTATAATACAAGGTCATAGTAAGCCTGGAGCCTATTCCAGGTAGCACAGGGCACAAGGCAGAAGACCGCAATACGGGGGTGTGCGATTTTGTTAATTAAAATGTCTTCACGACCTGCCTTTATGGAGAGATCGTTAGCGTCGTGATACAGTGCACTTTCTATCAATTGCAGTTCTATGGCTCATACACCTATCTAAAGTTGTTTTGTCAGGCAAATTCGTTTCGATACACCAGTAAACCGGTAATGGCTAACAGTAGGCAATGCTTTGGATTTCTTACTTTCTCCCTTTTTCCCCTCATCCCAACATGCAGTGAACATGTGACACATCCCTATTTGACGAAGTATCGGAATGGTCAATGTGGAACAGCTGATCCCTCAAAAGAATTTGACATCAGTAATAGTAACTTGTCTGGGTTTTCCAAAACTGACATGGCTTGAACAACAATTATTTGCAAAGATCCACGTCACACATTGGATAGCAACAGGATGAACCTTTTTAACCACCTCAAAAGAAAACATCTGCAAGAATATGCTAAATATGTTTCACTTCTACATTTTTCACTCTTATAGGGCTACATTTTTTTAAAAACAGGAGAATTTGTTTGGTTTGTACTGTTCAATAAAACCAACATAAAAAAGAATCATTATAAGATCGTGGACTGTGATCCTGTCTAAAAAAATTGTGACGTATTGCCATATCGCTCTACCACCTCTACCATTGCAGGGCACACTGTTACACAATATGAGCAGCATAGACGCGCTATATTACCTAACCTCATGTTTCTGGTTTGTAATGGGAAACCAAAGTACCAGGAGGGTCTCCAAAGAACATGGAAAGAGCCTGCAAACTCCACAAAAACAGAGCAGAGGTGGGATCTGAAGCCTTAACAGTGGAGTTGTAAAACAACATGGTCTAACTCCTGACTTACCATACAGTTTTACTTGCCAGGCAATATGATTGGTGGAAGTACCTGCTAATGATGTGGAGCCGACTGAACTTAGTCAGTCATTCCATTCATTCATCATTTGTATCTGTGACACAGGTAATTCCATAGTCCATTCAACTCACAGTTCTGAAGGTTGCGTCCCTTCTGTAGCCCTGGCTGATGTAATCAGCAGCCATTCTGCACCCAATAAGTACATTAATGACACACTGTGCCAACATGCAAGAAAAATTCTTTGACTGAGCATCATCCACTACATGCTGCTCCTGCAAATTCTGACATCTATACATTCAACCTGACCTTCTTCAAAACATTGTATGGATTTAGTTCTATTTGCAATAGGGACATTGATCGAATGCAACTTAGCTGTGGGTTGTTATGGGGTAAATTCCCCAGTGAGGGTTTATTACTGTCTCTATTGCCACTTTCTCAATAGCCATCAGTCATCAGTATAATGGTGAATCGATAGTCAATCAACAGTCCATCCAGCTAATCAGTTCAGTAGGTCATGACAGTCAGCCAACTGAATTCCTCGATTCACTGTCATAATGAACTGCTCACAGTGCACAGTGGTGTTTTGGTGTGTGTGTCCTGTGATAGACTGGCATCTCAATCAGGACCCACTCCAGGCTTTTACCCTCTGCTGCTTCCCATAGGTTCTAGGTGACTCTGACCAGGATTAGAAGTTGGAAGATTTATGGATTACCACACTTACTTCTGTACTCAGAGCTAGCCAACTCTGAATGAATGCATGCAACAATAACATAATCATTTAAGATGCTATTTGAACTAACAACACCTTAGTTCATAAATGTTGACACTATTTAATGGATTATCCACAGCATATTATCAGAGTAGGCTGGCCTTCCAGAAATCCATTATTATTTCAGAACCATCCAAGGGGAAGAGCACGCCTGTGTTATCAGTAAATGTTATACATTTTATCGTTGGTGGAGGACGGCACTTTCACCGCAGCATTTATCTATATGACTGTATATCTGGATGACTTTGAAAGGCGCTTGAGACACCTGCTCTGGAAGGGCATTACTTCTCAGATTCTAATTCCAGGTCAGGCAGGGTGCTTCTCCAAGTTCCTCAGCTTGTCAATAAGCCCCTGTAGACTGATATCCTGCCCAATAAAGTTTTAAAACTTGACACTGAATGATTCCTGGAAAGCCCACTTACTTACAGGGCTGCATGGAGAGTTTCTCTTAAAGACAGAGCATTTTAGTTGCTGTCAGTACTACAAGGAATATGCCTTTCAGACTACGGATTCAGGAAATTCAGTCTACATCAAAGATTCACTCTAAAAGAACACAGCAATGGCGTCTTCCACAAAGAGATGGTGGGGATTGAGGAGAGTCAATTGGTCAGTGCCTGCTAAGGGTTTTATGTGTGCTTTTGCATTATAGATACACTGGATCCGATCTTCAAGATGGAAGCCCTTCAGAGAAAAGCTATATACAGAAGGTTTTTCTTTGATCTCTGCTCCCACTTTACGGGCAACATGAAGGCAAAGCCCCAGCCCCTCTCCACAGGAGAGCCGAAACATCAGCCACTGCTGAACGGAGGGTCTGTCTGCTTTTTTGTCAGGTCATATGGGTCTTGTAAACAGCATCCGACTAAGGCAAGAGAAGCAAACTGGTTTGCTGGAAATCATTCAGCACATTGGGAGCATTTCCCATTGATCTTATTTGATGTCACCTTGTTGCGTTTAGTCTGTTTGTACGATCTGTGCGTGTGTTGCGTTCGTTTTCGGTAGTAGCCCTGGACCAACACCTCTCTGCGAGACGTCTGCACACAGGCAACTATGCGCCGCACTTTTCAGATATTAGTGCTATTTACCATTACTCTTGTCCTCCATTTTACTACCCGATCCAAAAAAATCTTACTTGGCTCCTCCTCCAAAATCTCTGAGCTTTCACATACTGAAGGTGAATGCATGATAGAATATATGGGTATGTATAATATATATATATACATGTTTATGTATTTATATTTATAAACACATTTTCCAAATCAGAGATTTATCTGGATTATTATGTATCATTCTCTGTGAGCCTGTAAGCTAAAATCCTAAAAATCCAAAGAGCAGAGCTACTGATGCAGTTATGAGAAGATTCTTAATTGAATTTCTTGAGTAATAATATTGGCACAAGTATAGACCCGTCACCTTTGAAAGTGGATAAAAGCATGTGCAAAAGAAAAAATGCAATTAATCATCAGAAGGTAAGTGGGGTTGCTTTTAAGACTGTTATATATATATATATATAGAAACAGGATTTGAGGTATCTGACCTTTTTCAATCATGAGTGTGACATCTGTGACTCTGGTATTACAGTCTCCTGACATATTTCCCACTTTTCCTGCCTATACTGTGTCTGTATAATCAGTTTAATATCTACTACTTTACTTCACCATTTCCTGGCACTTTCAGAGCTCAACATCATTTTCCTTTGTTATGACACTGCTCTATATTACAACACTGGCTCCTCTGCCAGATTGGACATTAAGAGTTAGGAGCAGCAGCATTCAGACTATCTCCTGAGAGAATCTATCTTTGACCACCAATACTCATCACCCTGAAGATTAAGAAATAATGGTTGCCAACGGCAGATCCAAAATTCTTTTGAATGTCTAATGGTAAGCTGCTATTTTACAGCGAGTGCAAAAGCCACTTTCATCATCCCTTATCATCCTCAAGTCATTTAAGAAATGTTTAATTTTGATCAGAGAAGACAGTGCCAACGTTCTTCACAAAACAGAACCCACCGTTTTTACATTCAGGGAAACTGATTTCTCTTTTTCAGATCAGACAAGGGCATATTCATTCTGTTAACTATCCCTCATATTTTAGGATTCACTTACAAAAACACACACACACACACACACACACAACACAACACATACTATGCTCAGTTGTTTAAGACACCCCCGGCCATGTTAAAATTAAGAGAACACCAACATCCTCCATCAACACGAGCGTATTTTTGTTCACTGCAAACAGTGAATATTACTAAGTGCTTAATCAGTTCACATGCCTGGCTTATAAACACCTGACACATGTCCCTGTCAGCCAGCCCTAACTGAAATATCATAGTCTCTGTTGATACTACAGGACCTTCTCTTACATCACTAACAGTTTCTGCCTGGTCTGGACTCTCACTCAGTCTGCTGAATCCTTTCTCTCAGCCAGTCAGCCTGGTCTCTCCACTCAGTCATACAGTCTGTCGAGTCTCTCATCTCACTAATCTCCATCTGTATCGTCTCGATCGTAGGAAGTGGCTTCTTTTTCTCCTTATGCTGTCATAACTATGTTGGCATTACCGGGGCGACACTCTGACATCACAATCGGATTTGTCACGAGCCTGGGATTAAATCTTCACATGGGGTTGGGTCCCACCCTGCCGGAATTCCAGAGGAGGTGGGCTGGCACTAAGAGGCTCTGGCTGGATATTGGTTGCTAAACTTCTGGGCAGCAAACCCCGTCCTGAAACATCTCAAGCCCTTACGAACTGTCCACAAATCCATGTCCACAAGTTTTTTTTTTCTTTCATTCACATTTGTTTGCAGTATTCTTTAAGATGCAGCATCCGTTAGAAGAAACAAGGGCAGTAAACAATTCTTTTCAAACACCCACAGGAACCATTAGAGGTGCACGCATGTGAGCCCAGGCGCCTGAGAGATGTGGTTAGTTGCCATGGCACTGAGGACAGAGTCTACAGGATTTGCAGTGGGAGATGTGGTCCTCCTTCTCCAGTCTAATGGAGAGCGTGGGCTCCACCCCGGGCCTGGGTGGGACACTGGCAGGGTACTGGGAGCTCTGGTAGACCACAGAGTGCTGGCTCTTCTTGGCCGCAACACGGTAGCGGTGGCAGCAGAGGAGCATGACCAGAGTGGCCAAACCCAGAAGCAGCAGGGCCCCCCCGCTGGCCATTATGTAATACCAGTAGGTAGGAATGGGCTGCACTGACACCGTGTCTACTGTGGGGTCACTCCTGCCAGGAAGGGCTTCCCCTGGTAGAGAGACACAGAAGAGTTGGCTAGGGCAGGGAGGCATGCAGGCTCAGCTAGCTGATCTACTTCATTAATCTCTTCTTAGCCCTAAGTCTTGTTTTGCACATGAACTAACCAAACATTTGTTGCACGCAAACAGACGTGCACATGCATGCCGGCCACCCTATCTTCACTTGGTTGTTGTCAAGGCAAACCAGAATCCTTGCTTCCTGCAATGTGTATGTACACATGGGTTTATATTTATAAATGCCACATTCAGTAAGAAACCATGGGGAGGGAGGGTTACATGCGAAAATCAGACTTCGCTGAGAGCAGGAAACTGACTTCAGGGCTGCAATAAGTCGAGTACGAACGTGAATAAATATACTGTTTATTCAACAGACGGTTCAAAGTGGGTAACAGGTTGGGGATGAAAGCCAGTTCGTGCAAAGAGTTCACTCACAACAGACAACTGGCAGGGTCTCTAATCCAGTGGTGGTGAGGGTTTAGCGGAATGCCACAGTTTGCACGACGGCGCTCTGGCCCTCTGACGGCTCTGCATTCCAGTGTGTCACTGCTGCCGGCCAAGCACCCGTGGAGAGGCTCCTCCTGCAGTGTAGCGCGGCCGGCATGCAGGCTGCGGAGACCATCTCTCCAGCGGCTGGCTGAGGAGTCTCCGAGTGCCCAGAAGGTGCTCTGTGAGTGAACTCTTCGCAGGGAGGGGCGGGGAGGTAGCTGCTGTTCCTGCATGCACTGCTCACTGCCAGACGATTTCGCCACAAGCCAAACTCCCCCATGGGGGATGCCCATTTATTAATGTGGCTCCCAGAATAAAACTCAAAACAAGATGTCTACAGTATGTGGGGAATGAAAACCGAAATTTCTGCCATCTTTCTGTTCTGCACTGCCTCTCGGGATGCTGGATCAGCGATAGTATCGTGCTGCATTAATAATACCATTTTAAACAAAAAATAAACCCAGATACTTCGAGACAAGTTCCCTACGTAGCGCTCCTGATACTGAGGAGAAAAAAGGAACCTTCACACCTAGAAAGTAGAAAGTATCAGATTCTGTGATACCGACTTCAGAAGAAAGTCCATGTAGCTGCTGCTCCGTCTACAAAGCAAACGATGCCCTCAGCCCAGGGCCTGTCTTGTCCCAGCTCAGTTTCTATAGACTCCTTGGCACATGGCACGGGCACAGTGGGTGGGCACAGGCACACAGGGAGTAAGACAAGCCATGATGGGAGGGGGGGCACCTGCTCCTCTACCCGCTAACAAGACCTGCCTGTATGTATGAGATTCTGAGTGCTGGCTGAGGCCCGCACACAGGAGCCTCTTAGAGGGCTCTCTCACACAATCCCGTCACATGGTTCCCTCTGCACCGGCCCATCATCATGCCCCGAAAGCCATTTGCCGTTCCCTCTCCCGGAAAACATGACCAAAACGTCGCTCCGAATCTACTATCAGCGCTGACATTTCCATTAGTATCGCAATGGCAACAACGGAGATGAAATTGCGGCATGCAGCTTCGCCAGGAGCACCGGACGACGGTTATCGAGAGACCGTGTGGTCACAGAGCGAGTGGCCCTAGCAGGATGAGCGGGCAGGGGGCAGGGGCAGCGCGCAGCGCCAGGGGCCCGAAGCCAAACCGGAAGCAGCATCACGTCATGGGCATTAAGCGCAAACATCTGCATAGGAAGTAAAATGGGTGCGGAGCGGTGACAAGGTCAGGCTTACCTGTCATGAAGGGAGGAAAGGCTGCAAAAGGCTCTGAAAAGAAGAAATAACCATGTTTATGGGGGAAAAAACAGACTGTAGAATGCAACTGTCATTTAATCAAAAGGATCTAGGAAATAAAAGAAGCAGAGGTTTGTAAATAATGCGAAAGCACCAACGTATGAAAATAACTCCCACAGTGACTGGTGATGCTCTTGGATGCCACCCTCATGACAAATTCATGGCGGGGAAGGACGATGGTGACCCATTAACGCGGCTGTGCGTGGAGAACCGCGGAATACCGAACGCGTATTTAGAATGCCCGGAATGCCGGGACAATTAAAAAGAACACAGAGAGAGTCCATGGGAGATTTTTTGGCAGCGGTAACGTAGAAGCCGTCTGCAAGCTGTGCAGAATTAATAGATAAGGAGAGGAAGGTTTGGGAAAGAGAGGCTGTGTGCGGGCAGACAGGATAGATCTCGGGCCGCCATGGGGCCGGCCTGGTGGGGACCCGCGCTCTGACGGATCAGCCAGTCTGCCGGGTGCTGCTCCAGAGAACAGGAGGCTGAGCTCCTTAAGACTTTCAAGCCTGCGCTTTTTAAAAAAGCACATTTCTAGTCATTGCGAGGAAGCTGGCTGTCCAACAATTCCTGTGACGGGTGTGTTTACAAACAGAAAAGAAGGGGGAAGAAAATCTAATGAAACATAGATTAGAATCAGAGCCCATGGGGCGTTCGTGGCCTAGTTAGGATATTTCGTGAACAAAAACAGGAGCCCCCCGCCCCTAATTTTTAATTTGACTTTGAAGGGACTGGCACTGGCACCCATGAGGTTGGAAAAAAAAAGCATTCGAGGACTCCCCTGCCTGCCCCCCAGAGAAGTGGGGACTTACGTGTGCAGTCTTCCAGCATGGTGCTGGAGCTCATGTCCATGTTGTCCAGCCAGATGTGGCCTCTGTTGCCGTGGTCAAAAAAACCCTCCATGATGACCTGTCAGGAAGCAGGAGGAGGCTGTTTATTCTCTGTGCTGTGGTCTGTCTCTGCTGTTTATTCTCTGCACTGTGGTCTGTCTCTGCTGTTTATTCTCTGTGCTGTGGTCCGTCTCTGCTGTTTATTCTCTGCGCTATGGTCTGTTTGCTGTTTATTCTCTCTGCTGTGGTCTGTCTTTGAGTTTATGCACTGTGCTGTGGTCTGTCCCTGCTGCGTATTCTCTGAGCTGTGGTCTGTCTCTGCTGTTTATTTTCTGTGCTGTGGTCTGTCTCTGCTGTTTATTCTCTGCACTGTGGTCTGTCTCTGCTGTTTATTCTCTGTGCTGTGGTCTGTCTCTGCTGTTTATTCTCTGCACTGTGGTCTGTCTCTGCTGTTTATTCTCTGTGCTGTGGTCCGTCTCTGCTGTTTATTCTCTGCGCTATGGTCTGTTTGCTGTTTATTCTCTCTGCTGTGGTCTGTCTTTGAGTTTATGCACTGTGCTGTGGTCTGTCCCTGCTGCGTATTCTCTGAGCTGTGGTCCCCCCTTGCTGTTGACTCTGCCCTGTGCCCTCACTGCAGTTCCCCTTCTTTGTTCTGTAAACTGCCAGTGCTGTTCCCTGTCCTCATCCCCCCCTGAGCCATTACTGCCCCTGCTTTCCGGAGTGAAGCCTACTGATGCTGCCAGCTAGAGAACAGCAAATATGTCAAACTATAAAGTGTTGTGGAAATCCTCACTGCAATATCAAGACGGACTAGTTTCATTTAGAATTCACTATAAATGGCCAGTTCCTGTCCTCTTGTATTCATTCATGGCTAATTTAGAGCTGTTCAGGGCAGCGACTGGGGGGCGGTTTGCCTGGAGAGCCAGATACTTTGCTGCTTGCAGGTGCTTCAGAGACTCTGGATTTTTTCCTGAACTATTTCCTGAATTGACTGGCAACTTCCTGCCTTTCATCCTATAGAATGAAAGTTATTTTGGACATTATGGACAATCAGTTTGACAGCAGTAAAAGCTACTGTGAGCCCGGTCTATGCATGCACACACACACACACACACACACACACACACACACACACACCAGCCTGACCTACAATGCCTCTGTACCTGGTACTCCTTGGGCGAGTGGGGCAGGACGGTGCGCCCCTCCTTCCATACGGGCCCCTGGTCCCCCTTCAGGGCCCAAATCAGTGTCTCCTCCTGGTTGGTGTCCCGCAGCAGCACCCGAAGGTGGCCCATCCCCTCGCCCCACAGCTGGTAGGAGAAGATGAGGCAGAGCTCCCCCTGCTGGGGCCGCACCTCTGGGCTCACTAGCCGGGCCCGCCGGCCCTCCGCCCGGGGGCTCGCTTCGATGTACAGGAAGCTGCCGATGCCTGTGTGGGGGAACGCGGTCACACGTCAGACACTCCTGGCGAGCCCCAGCCCCTTTGGGAGGACAGACGCTGTGCTCTCTGGGAGACGTTTCCCAGAAACACAACCATGAGGTCAGCAGGCCGATGTGTGCTGGGGATCTGAGCCTGCTCTACTGAAAGCATCGAGTCACGGGAGACAACATGCCGGCGCACACAGCTGGAGCGGTTCATCCCGGGGAAGAGAGTCCCTGAGGGGAGCCTGCTGAGCACAGCTTTTTATAAAACTGCCTTCATCTCTCCGTGTGCTTGTGTGTGGGTATGTGTCTATGTATGTGCGTGTGTGCACGTGTGTATGTGTGCACATGTGTATGTGCGTGTGTGTGGTGTCCGTGTGTGCGCATGTGTGTATGTGCGTGTGTGTGCACGTGTGTATGTACGTCTGTGTGTGTGTGTGCATGTGTGTTTGGTGTCCGTGTGTGTGTGTGTGCATGCGCATGTGACCATCTGCACTGATACACTTATGTTGATACACTCATGTGTCTGCACATATACATGTTATTCTCCTATAATATAACCGTAAAATAAGTAAACGACACAGAAAGATCTCACAAAGATACACTTAACCTGTAGCACAGGATCTGCTCTACAATTACAAATGCGTTCACACAAAAAAAACACATTCCATCTAAAAAAGTTTTTACAGAATATCCGTTCCCACAGCAAATTACTAACAACTTTTTCATGTGACCTATGATGTATCTCTCAGCAATGTGTAGCTGTTTTCACTGCTGGTTGTGTTAATACCTTATGTCTTTCACTCATTTTGTGGATGTTTTCAGGTTATCTAAGACTTATTTATTGTCTTTTGTTGCTGTAATTTAGATAGATGGGTCTTAACAGCATGTAACTGCCATGGCTCAAGCCTAGACTAAACCATAAGACTTATTAGCAATACCATCATTATAAATAATCATCACACACAGATCCATAAGTTTTGCATGTTTGTCTGACATTACTCAAGTTCCTGTTTTGTCTATGAAACACAATCTAGACACATAATCCACACACTACATACAATTCCAGCCCCTCTGCCATCACAACCTGGCAACCCACAACCCAATCCAGGTCTCTGCGGAGGATACCAGGCCAGCTGAATGGCAACCCAGAACCCAATCCAGGTCTCTGCGGAGGATACCAGGCCAGCTGAATGCGGAATGAATTAGCTAGCTAACTTGTCAAAATTTCAGGGAGGATGGCGTTTCACCGGGGAAAATAACAAACACACCCACAATGATGTTGCCGTTTTCTCATAACATAAACAGAAATAAAAAATAAAAATTAATCTGGTTGTTTATTTACCTATTCTTATTTGTCCCTCCCCCCCCCCCCCCCCCGGCACAGGAAGCTCATGTGCTTTGAAACCTATATGTTGAAAGGTATAAATGCAGCGAGGATAGAGCTCCTTTTCTCAGCATAAATGTTTAAAGGGACGTTATTGGTGATTTTCTCGCTGAACCTTAATATCAGCCGGTTTTATCAGCTGGCGGATATTTCAGTCAAGCCCTAATAGGTAATGAATGTCCGAGTCCATGGCACTGCTGAATATCACAGCTGGCTCTGCCTGTTTTCTAAGTACCTCTCTGAAGGCTACAAAAGCATATTATCCTGAACCTGCAAGCTTCTGCTTACATTTGTTCAGTTCCCCCTAATGCATTAGTAAAAGAGATCAAAGCGCTCCCTGTCTAATCAGCCCAGGCTATCCGAAATGCTGATTTCTATTTCAGTACTGAGAGCCTGGCTGAAGGAAGCCTCCGATGTGTTTTGGTGAGCAACACATAAATTATTAATCACATTTACATTCTTCATCCCCGGCTCAGAAAAAGAGGACACGCTTTTGGCACACATGTCATTAAAAAATGATTCCTTCTGGGTGAGATTAATGCTTCTCCAGGACTCATGCGGGCAGCATGGCAGCTCAGTGGGCGGCAGCGTTTGTGAGGATGGAGGTGCGATTCTGACCCCGGCTCTGCGTGGGCGGGTTTGTGTGCCCGTGTGTGTGCAGTGTGCAGGTTCTCTCAATTGTTAGGGTTCCTCCAGGTACATTGGCTTCCTCCCATGAACTAGAGACATAAGTTAATGTGAAACGCTTGTATGTAAGATGATACCCTACAACTGAGAGGCAGCACCTCCGTCGGTGCCCCTTGGGTGGTGCCCCTTGGGTGACGCCCCTAGGTCCTGCGACAGGCCCCAGGCTTACTGAGTCTGCATGCTGCAGAACTGGTCATTAAAAATGAATCATCCTCATACCACCATCATTATCCTCAACATCTGAATGTCCGAATCATGCGTTGCGATCAGAAGGCACATGGGTGAGCAGACCGCGGGGGTCTGCATGGGTGTCTGGGGGGCAGTAATCAGCCCGCCCCTGACCCCCCACCCCCCCCATTTCCCAGGTGTTTCAGTCCACCGGGAGCATTTTATAGAAAATTAAAATACCAAACTGCTAATAATCGTTCCCAGCTGTTGCCCTCAGATGTTAAATCTTTCATAAACCACTATTAAAATATATCAAAAGTAATGAATTTTAAAGGAGCTCGGAATAACAATCCTGTTACCCTAACCATAAACCCCCTAAATAAGCCCTATATTTTATTAATGCAGTAAAACTTTTTCTTTTTGATCTGGGGTAAGCATAGGGGGAAATTAATAATATTTTCTTTGAGGGGCTTTAAGTACATGGAACTCTACTTAGCATAGAGATAACTGCCTGCAAGGTAAGTGAGGAGCAGGACGTCTCCACTGGGAGCACTGGTTTCTACTGGAATCCTCTTTACTGGAGTTAATTAGCATGAGCGTGTGTTAACCCTTTCCTCTCAACCCACGACCAAAAAAGTATGCACACATGTTGAAAAGCCTCGCTTTCAGGCAGTGCAAAACACCTCACTGACCCAGCTCAATGCTTGCCTAACCCTAATCCCAACCAGAGCTAAACAACCCCCCTGGGAGATGGAGGGGGGGGGGG